GCCACTCACACCACTGGTCCTATAGGGCGCATCCGTCCTGGATTCCCTGTATTTTCAGTTCCTGTCTGTACCAGTGTACATCCTCTGGTCTAGCCAGACTTGCAAGATCGAATTCGAGTCATGGTAGTGGGAGAAGAGTGTAACTCTTTATGAGAGTTAAAAGCCTCCTTTTTCTCCCTGGGAATGCCTGTTGGTTTTGAACTGCTGACATTGTGATGAGCAGCCTACTTATGCCACCAAGGCTCCTTATGAAATACCTTGACTAGCCAAATGTGTAGAGCACAACCAAGGTACAACCACCGGTCTCCCTTTACCTGGAGACGAAGGGGAGTCGGGAAGCGGAAGGGGACTTGGAATGCTGTGTCTGCATGGCTCCAATAGCGAGGGAGAAGAACCGGAAAGAGGGCCTGATGACCATCACGGAACACAATCTTGACCTACGGTTCTAGAGAAGACATCTGATCAAAGCGAGGTAGGGGCGTGGCTTGGTGAGGATGCAGAAACAGATCTTTCTGCTTCGAATGGCACCCAGACCTTCTGGATCCATAGAGGGTGGATAAAGCTCTGGCACCATGGTCCTGAGATCATCTTTCAATCTTAAGGCAAAAACACCCCCGGAGGTCTTCTTAAAAGCCTGGCTGAATAGCATTGTGCTTGCTTAAGGACTAGGGTGGTGTAGTGGTGACGCATTGGGCTGCCATCCTCATGGTCCACAGTTCGAAACCACCAGCAGCTCTGAGGGAGAAAGGCTGGGCTTTCTACTCCCATAAGCAGCTGCGGTCTCTTGGAAACCCACCGGGGGTTGCTGCGAGTCAGCATTGACTCGATGGCAGCCAGTATATGGGATCAGAGTGACTACATCAATGATTAGATGTGGAGCCTTGGCGTTCACGTGAAGCGGACGTGGAAGGTCTCAGAGAAGGAGGGTGTGCGCCCAAGAAAGTAGTCAGCGTGAGTGAGTTGTACTGGAAGGAACTGCTGAACGGGTGATGGTTTGGCTGGGCATATTCCCAAGCCCTGAAAAGCCATGTATGACATCTGGGGAGACAGGAACAAGAGGAATGAATGAATGGGGCCGGAGGGGTAGCGGGGCCCCGGGGAATGAAGGAGATGTCCGAAACTGGACTGTGGCCTTGATGGCACAACTCCTTAATGTCATCAAACCAATGAGCGGACAATGGTCCATGACTTCTGTGTCAATCAAACTGTTAAGCCCATACAGGTGTAGAAACAAAAGTTGATCAAGTGGGAGTCATTGCTTAGGGGAGGCTCTGTTGGAGAGTTAGGATAAAATAATACTAAGAGTCTTCCTGTCTACAGATCTGGTAGCACTTTTTTAATGCAAACATGCAGCCAGAATGGGCCTGAGACGCAAGGATGGCGACACTTCAGCTCGCTTATGTTTTTGTTCGAATTTTGCATTGTGATTTGAGCCTACATTAGGCAAATACCTTGGCTTCCCACGCAGGCATCCTGTTTTGTGCCGCTGATTGCAGCCTCCACAATGTAACCTCGCCTCTCCCACTTTCCTTTCGTGTCTCCTGGTCCGTGCTTCCTTCTGCCCTGCCTTGTCCGACCTTCTGAGCTTTCTCCCTGGGCAAATGCTGCCTTTTTAAGCCTGGTTGGTTGACTGTGGGATGAAAAAACTTAGAGACAATGAGGGGGCGATGGCTGCCTAATATAATGATGATGAAAGGTGCTGAATTACATGTGGAAAAGATGTTGAAATGAGATGTTTTCTTATAGATACTAAACATGCTTTCTAAGAAAAGTCTACTCCAGGAATCAGCAGCATGGGGTTCCCTTAGGAAACTACTAGAAATACAGACTGCTAGGTGCCCCGGCCCTGCAGAATCCCAGGCTCTGCAGGGGGTGGGGTCCAGAAATCTGTGTTCTAATCAGCTCCCCCAGGACTTTCTAATGCTGGCTCCACTTTGAGTCCCATTGTCATCGTTGTTGGGAGAATGACACTTGTACAAAAGGCCCCAAGGCCTGTACTAGGGGGTGGGGGTCAGGGGTGGAGCGCTCACTGCTATTGCTATTGCTTTGATTACTATCTTTATTCATTTATTTATAATTGTTATGTTTACAGAAGAGACGTGGGAGGCCCAGCCAACAGGGTCTGGCTGCACCCTCTCGCCCAGCCTTGCGGGGTCAGGGGCTGGGGTGGGCTGGTCCGAAATGAGACTGTTTTTTGCCTCTCTGCGTGGAAGATGCCAATGAGCTGGGCCACGTCACTCTGTCCCTGGTGAAAGGTTATCTCTTGGTCCCGGATTGGGAAAGGTCAGAGTGAGGGGTGGGGGGCATGCTTATCTCTCCCGTGCTGGGGGAGATAGAGGAGGTCACTCAGCTCCTGCACACAGGTGGGAGGGAGGCCAGGAGATATAAATGGGGGGTCCAGCGGCTGTGGAATCACCACCCCCAGAAGCTGCCAGTGCAGGAGCCTGTTCCTGCGTCGGAGGCTCTCTGTCCAGCATGGCCAAGCGCACGCTGCTGCTGCTGCTGCTGCTGGCCGGGGAGCTGTGGCTGCAGGCCGAGGCCAGGGCGGCCCCCTACGGCGTGAAGCTCTGCGGCCGAGAGTTTATCCGAGCTGTCATTTTCATCTGCGGGGGCTCCCGGTGGAGACGGGCGGACATCCTGACCCACGAAGCTATAGGTGAGGCTGGGCAGGTGGGGCCAGGTGGGAGGTTGGGCCCTAGGAGCCAGAGACAGAGATGAGGGCAGGGACTCGGGGCCAGGGGCCTGGGGGCCCCCCACACCCAGCTTGGGAGAGCAGTTCAGCCTTCCAAGGGCACAGGGGGTGATGGGCCAGATGTCCCAGCACCTCTCTACCTGTGCTGAGAACGACTTGCTCCACTCCAGGCGGTGCCAGGCAACACATGGGCTTCCATGGGGTTCGGGGCCAGGCTTCACCTTCAAATTGGTATCTCTCCTAAAAGTGCCTTCCTCGGTCAGAGCCCTGGGGTCTATGGGGCACAGGAATGACAGTCGTTGTTTAGTGGCATAGTTGTGTCGGAACAGATAAGGACATGGTTTATGCAGGATAAGAGACTCGGTCTGGGGAAGGTAAGGGACAGGAAGTCTAGTGTCACCAGGGGCGGAAGCCTGGCAGGAAATAGATGTTGGTGATGAGACAGAGGTACAGAAGCACATGGCTCTACGTGTGTGTGCGTGTGTGTGTGTGTGTGTGTGTGTGTGTGTGCATGTTCAAACAGCGGCTCTTCAATATCATACCTGCATGTCCTTATACATTATTCCACCTCTTAGGTGTCTGTCTCCTACCTGGGAAATGAGGTGGCAGCTTCATCGCATAACATTGACACTGAAAAGAATAAAGGAAGGAGTCCATCCAGGGAAGCGCTTAATACAGTGCCTGGCACACAGGTGTGGACCCAGTCGTCAAGGGACTGAGGGCATTTGCCCCATACCAGACACTGTTCTAAGTTTTTTGTGGTTAACAACCACAAAAATCATGTCCCCCTATAAAGCCCCAGAAAGCGGGAGTTATGATTGGCCTTATTGGACAGCCAACCCTCTCCTCCTCCTCCTCCACCACCACCACCACCCCAGCCTAAGAGAAGCAAAGCGACTTGCTCGCTCTCGAACTCCGAGAGCTGGCATTCATGTTTCCTCGGCCTAACAGCACAGTCGAGAACTCAGTGCCAGGAGTTGGTTTTGACCCATAACGACCCTGTAGGACGGAGCAGAACTGCTCCTGTGGGTTTCGGAGGCGATACATCTTTACGAGAGTAGAAAGCCTCGTCTTTCTTTCGAGGAGAGGCCGATAGTTTTAAACTGCCGACCTGGAGGTTAGCAGCCCCACACGTGCATAACCACTACGTCACCAGGGCTCCTTTGGGAGTGCAGGAGTTGGGGGGCGGCGGGTGATAAGAGAGGAAAATCCAGCTCAGGTTGGTTAAATAACCTGCCCATCGGAACCGGTGGCAGAGCCGGAATTTGAACCCAGGCCCGATTGGAAGCAAACACTTAACCAACGAAAGCACATCATAAGAACTGAGAAGCAACGGGACCAGTGGAGAGCCGGGCCCAAGCAGTAACACAACTCATCTTTTGCAGGGGATGCCTTCGCTGATGCTGAAGCCGACTCGGAGAGCCTGGCCAGTGAGCTGGACGAAGCAGTGTCCTCCAGCGAGTGGATGGCCCTGACCAAGCCCCCTCAAGCCTTCTATGGGGGCCGGCCCGGCTGGCCGGGAACCCCTGGTGCTCTGCGGGGTGCCCGTGATGTCCTGGGTGGCCTCTCCCACAACTGCTGCCGGTGGGGCTGCAGCAAGAATGAAATCAGCAGCCTCTGCTAACTCGGGGTGCTAGCCAGCCTGAAGCCCACTCACCCGGATTCTCCATTCATCAGCGCTTCACGGGTCCTTCAGGACGAGTGGGCTCGACCCTGCTGTCGCTGGGCCCCTCCCTCCCTGGTCAAATGGTGCCCCCAATCTTGAGCCAGCTGGCTCTCTGCCTAGCCCCCGCTGGAGCAGCTACCCAGAGGATACCCCTGCCCCCTGGCGCCCCTCGCTATTTCCTTTCCCGTGCCCTCCGATTCCGCACGCCCCCCTCCCACGAAAGCCTGTTACCCCGGAGGGCTAATAAAAGTGTCGAAGGACTTTTTGCATGTGTGTGTGTGTGTGTGTGTGTGTGTGTGTGTTGGTGTTACTGGGGAGGCGACACGGCCCTTGGCGCCCCCACACGTGGCCTCTGCACTCCCATTCCCCAGCCCAACGACGGCGCCCGGGGTCTTTCCTCCGTCACCGGGAAGGGGCGGGGACCGAGCGAAGCTAGGTGCGGAGGCGGGTGGGGGAGGCGACGCTGCTTCCCGCGGTTCCCGCGGCGGCGCCTCCGCGAGCCAGCCGGGCACCTGGCCGGCTGCGCTGGGGTGCCATGCAGGGGGCCCTGGCCGTCCCCTTCCGCCTGCTGCCCCTGCTGCTTCTGCTGTGGCTCCGGACTCATCCCGAGGGTGAGTCTGCCGGGCTTCCGCTTGGGGCGCTCGGCCGCCATACCCCCATTGTGAAAGTGCCCCCCACCGTCCGCTAAACAGTCTGCAGACAGAGCGGTCCCAACGCCGCCCCTCCAGCCCCTTCGAGGCTGCCGGCCACCCGGAGCTGGGGAGCCCCGAGCTGCTGGGGTGCGTGGGGTGGGGGCAGCGACAGGATGTGGCAGGCACTCGCACAGAAGGGCGGAGTGTGGTCCTGGAGCGGAGTAGGGGCGCCCCCACGCCCCCCTCCTGCGCGGCTCCCTTCCGTCCGAGACCCGGGAGCGAGCGGCCGGCCAGCATGGGCAGTGACATCCCAGGGCCCTGTCCAGGCAGCCCCACTCCTCCGAAGATGCAGTGTTACCGAGCCGGCGCCTCCAGGGATTTGAACTGCTCCTGGGAGCCTCTGGGAGACCCGGGCGCCCCCTCCGCGGTGCACTTCCAGAGCCAGAAATAGTGAGTACTCCAAGGGGCATGGCAAAAGGCATCAGGGGGATGCGGGTCCTGATCCCTGCCCTCCCTCCAACTTCAAGCCCGTGTACCACACCACGTAGTACTATTTCCTCTCTGAGTCCGCATGTCGTCCGATTGCACGCTGCGCGTCACAGAAACAGGCATCCCCTAGAGCAGGTTCTGAAGGTCCAGCGAGTTAAATTCACAGAGATTAAGAGGTGCTTTTCCGCCGTGTGACCGTAGGCTGATAACCTAGCTTCTCTGAGCACCTGAAAAGACCTGTGTTCATTTGGCAGTGCAGTAGCCTGTAAAGAGGCAGACAGGCACCCCTTAAAGATGCATCATCCCCTCGAAGTTTCCCATTTCAAATGCTGCTAAGTGATGGACGAGTAGAAGTGGCCCCCAAAGGTGGGAATGAGGTCTACGGTTTTTTCAAGGGCGGGGGCTGAGGGCTTAGCCAGGTCCAGTTTAAAATGTTCTATCACTGGGGAGAAACAGCCACCCCCGCCCACCC